TATATATATATAGAGAGAGAGAGAGAGAGAGAGAGAGAGAGAGAGACAGAGAGCAACGAAAGAAGAACATGACATGATCTGTGTTGCATATTGTCTGCAGAATATTACGTCCTTTTTGTTTCGAACGCCCCTCTCATCATAAAGCTCGACGCGGCGTATTTTTCGCTGATAACAGCATTTTGTACCTAATAGGCCTGATATCGATCGCGTTCGCAATATGGAACCGACGAAGTGAGCACGGTGATCATGCGACTAGGATTAACTATTACAGACAACGTTTATCTTACCGCATACGCTCGCATATATACGTACATACTTTCGCTCTGATCTTTCGATCTTCCTCCTTAGGATTAGTCTGTCCTGTTATCATTAATGGCAAAGACCACATTACAGGCCGGACGTCAAATGTTACGTTACTATCGTTAATCTTATTATCGTTATTATTATTAATATTATTATCATTATCATTATCGTTATCATTATTATCATTATTTTCACTATACGCGTTGAGAAACATTTAATTGAACAACATGAAACTGTCGCCCGCACGTGCGAGTCTGTCAATATATAGTATATGTGTATAAAATTCGAATACACACCCGGCGGACCGCAAAAATGAACGAGATGAACCTTTAACAGCGTCGCTAGACTCCAACGTGTCGCATAAACTATACAAAAATGAGCGCTCGAAGTTGGGAGAAACGAAATATTTTGGACGGTACGACGAAGAAGCGTTCAACGAAACGTTACATAGCTGCCGCAAAATCTTTGTGTTCCACTCCAATTCAAATCGCTCGCAACTGCACTCGCAAATTAGCATATATTTCATTAACTCATTGCACATCGATTTGCCCACTTCAGCAAACGCCTCGCAAAAGCGATTTCCACTTACTCGATCCTTTCCGCCGTGATAGAATCGACACACAATTAAACAGTTAAGCGACTCGGTCAGCCATTATCGTCAAAAATGTGTCCATCGGCATTTTCATTTCGCGACTAGCAGACGTTGCCTCACGCGATCGTAATGATTAAAAATCTTGCGAACTTTCATTCCTGTTTATCAAGAACTCTTTCCGATTCTTTCACTCTTAAACGCGCTTCTAAATGCAGACATTTTTGTAGCTTCTTATTATTTTTCACCATATAATTTAGATGTTTTGGAGAGTAACAGTTACTTAAGCCGCTGTGTGACATTCGCCAGGGCAACGGCGAATGCTTGCAAAGCGCTGAACGGATATTGGAAATCCAACGTGTACGCATTGCCATCTATTCTTCCGAATTGCATCACCTGAAATTTGACGATATTTTACACAATTTAACTCGCGGAAAAAACTTGTGGTAGATGCATTTGTGATTTGATATTACCTGTCTGTCCCTGAATTCAATCTGAAAATTCTTAGCGCTTTCTTGAGTCACTCTACCACCGAAATCAAGTTGATACACTTGACTAGCCTCGTTCCACATGGGCGCTTTGTTGTGCATCACCAATTGTGCATCGCGCCTTATCGCTTCCGATTTGGAACCAGAAATTCCCATTCCTCTCTGCTTGAGCTGTAAACAACATTGATATCGTTGGTATTGTTCCCAGGCTGTTTTTTTTTAATGTAGCGTATTTATCGAATACTCTTCCTCGATAGTTGGAAATATTTACGATATAGACCTTCTGACGTAGCTGGGCTTTCTGGAACGTTTCTAGGTCCCGATAACTCGCCGTCGACGATTCATCTTGGAGGAGACCCTCCTCGTCCGAGCTTTCGCCGCGACTCTTTCTCATTCGTCTATTCAATAACGGGCTTGACAAGAGTCTTCTACGAATTGGAGAGGCCGACGCCGGTCTCTTGCCTTTCTTAGAAGGTGCCGGGCTACTAGGTGAGCTTCTCGGCAATCTGTGGAGATAGTGAATTATTATTTGCACGCATAGTACATAATAAATACATAAATGATTCAAATACGAACAAACTTTTTTTTTGTGTGTGTGAATATAAGTCAATTGGTAGATGTATTTACACAAAAAAAAGTTTCGTTCATATTTCAACTATTCTCGTATAATACACATACTACCTTGATGATGGTCGAGGAGAAGGAGGAGGCAAAGAATGATTATCATCGAAATCGCGAAGTCTCGCGGCAAGACCGTCGAGCGAAGAAGCAAAGGATCCACTCGGACTCGATCCTCTGAAATATAATCAGCTTTTTACTTGAAACTGTTTGGAAAGCAATTTTCTCTTATTATTACACACACACACACACACACACACACACACACACACACACACATATATATATGTACGATCTGTATTTCGAATTAAATACTTACTTGACGGGAGATGCAGTAGCCTCTAATCGACATGGCTTTTCCCTATAAGCTTCGCGAACAATGTTACTTTCGTTACTTCCCATGCGTTTATCGGCAATCTCATGAATCTCATCTTTCGATAATTCTGTCGATTCGGCGCGCTTTGTCATGCCATCTTCGGTAACTTCGGAATTGACTAGCCCCGTTGCCTCCTCCACATGTTCCGGTAATTGGGGCGGGGAGGATATCTGTTCGTTACTCGGAAATATATCGCTGGAATCGAGACTCTTGGACTTGCCACAGTTGCGGAGTCTGGGCGGTTTCGAGCTCGGCTGGCTGACGTCATGTTGAGGTTTGGCCTTTTTCCGCCGTTTTGTTTTCCGCGACACCAACACCAGCCTCTTATTCGGCGCGTCTCTACGCAGCATTCGCAAGGCTACGTCACATGGGACTAATTGGGCGTCCACCAGGTCCAAGTATCCGACGCTACAGCTTCGAACTATCGAGTCATTCGAGCACATCGGACCGATACTAATGACTGTGGAAGTTCTATGAACGCCTCGCGACTGTTCCGACCCCTCGATATCCTCGCGCGGTTCATCGTCGCTAAATCGCATCAAATCCTCGTCAAGTTTAACGTTAGCGAGAGCTCCGGCGTAGCCAGGATTTGTCTTTCCGTAGCACACGTGGCACTTAGGATCTTTGTGCTTTGAGAAACACTGCGAACACGATGACCCAAAGCACTGATCGATATTCTCCGGGAACTGATAGGAACATGCCGGTGAAACAATTCCGTGTATGCCGTTCTTATTAAGAACTACACCCGAAGCTTGTCCGAGTAGAGAGCTATTTGAAGGCGTCGTATTAGCGCCCGTCGTACTCGCCCCGGAATTTTGATTATTTTTACTATGTACAAAACTATGTGTGTGAGCGCTCGGCGACATCATTGTTTGGACGCCGCTGATAGGATGCGAAGCGGTCAAAACGTTGCTCGCGCACCCTATATTATTTAGACCATTCAGATACACGGTTTGCGCCGAGGCGCAATCGATACTCTCCAGACCGTTCAAAACCGAACTTTGAGAGATATATCGACTGCTCGACGCCTCCGTATTCAAGGCCTGGCCATTTTGCATAGACACAGAAATGATGTTAGTCGCACAGGCCGATGTCAGGCACGGTTTGTCGTCCTGCGAGATTTGATTGAGCTTATTGTTCTCCAATTCCTTCTTCGTCGATATGCCAGCTTGCTGATCTGCGAGAGCGTTCTTCATTCTCTGAATGCTGCTGGCGTAATCAGCACCCGCGTTCGAAGTCGCTATTAACGTTTGCGTGGGCGCGACTGCATTTTTCGGCGATTGCAAGGCCGGTACGTCGCAACACCTCGGCGGATTGTGCCTTGGCGGTGTCCGATAGGTGTTCGTGGGAGCGTTTCTGATATTTTCGTAAAGATTGCCCATGTCCTGCAGATCGACGTACGGAACGTACTCGCTCTCGTAACTCTCGATTTTTCCCAGCGACGTCGGCAAAGTCTCCGTTGTTAAGAACTGATTCGAGATTTGAGACTTCGGCCGATTCGGATGGTTCAGTCGAGCGTTACGAGGAGTCATCGGTGCGATCGGCGGCGGTTGCGCCTCCGGAGTAACTCGCGAGCTTGTCTCCTGGTACGACTCCTCTTCATCCTCGGAGAACAGATTGGGGTTGAACGTCGGATCTGGACCTATATGAAAATAATCATGCGTTATTAAGTTTTTATAAACTGCAGAAAAATTAGTCACGCAACTGAATTAATATCGTAAATTACCAGAGGGCAAATCGTCCCGGAGCTCCGTCATCACGAGCGTCATTTGCCTGGGTTGTAGGTGCAGCAGCGACGTTCGATATGTTACCTGACCTAGGTTTGCGGGAACCGAATCTGCCAAGCCGTGAAACTTGAATTTCGTGCCCCAGATGTTCGACGTTACCTCAACCAACCTCGCGTGCTACGAACAGATACGCTCCGTTAGAAATATCCACGACAACATGTACACAGCTACACCCGTTTGTCACGCGAGTAGTGTACGCTCCCTTTGATATAGAAGACTTGTCAAAGTCTGCGCTCGGCATGCAATTCATTATGCCGAAAGATACGATGATGCGATTTCCGTATACGAGAATAAAATATTTTATACGAATCTTTCAACTCTCTAAATCTTGTGAAGTGAAATCTCACTCGAAGAGACTGAAAATTTAGCCTGTCTTGAAAAAAGAGTGAAAATACTCTTATTAAAGAGTGGCAGATTTTCACTGTTTTTAGACGGAGATTTACTTTTTTCAAATAAAGATTTACTCTCAATCCCTTTTTTTGGAGTGAGGTTCCATCTACTCAGGTATTATACTTCAAAAAAGAGATTGAGATTTCACTCTTTTGGAGTGAATCTTATTCCAAAATCGTAGAGTAAATCTCACTCTGAAAAGAGTGAAAATCTGCCACTCTTTAATAAGAGTGATCGTATATTTTCACTCTTTTTTCAAAACAAGCTAAATTTTCAGTCTCTTCGAATGAGATTTCGCTCCACGGACTTTAAAGAGTAATACAATAAAAATAAATACAAAGGGAAGAGAAAAAGAGAACTAGATACAGATGGATGGAATATTACTTTTTGTTCTAGAACTGTGCCCTCTAAAAGCAAACAAATTAAAACAAATATAATATCGAGGAAATTTATAAAAATAAAAGAAAATTAGTTACAAAGAAAACAATTAATTTAGCAAAGAGACAGAGAGAGAGAGAGAGAGAGAGAGAGAGAGAGATTCTATTACCTCTGGCAATGTATCCACATATGCAAGATCGTTTGTCTTTTCCTCTCGTTCCATTGCTTCGTCACTCGTCCTCTCTTCTCTTCTTTTCCTGTTCTTCTTTCTGTAGCGAGGCGATCCGCACAAATCCGCAGTGTCCTTTTCGGTGTCCGAGCCATCGCTGTATGACGGGCACTGTGACGTATCGTCGAATACTTGCAGAGTCTCTTGACCTTGCGGGTCGAATATCACAAATTCGGGTCGGATCTTGCTGGTCCGTCTGCCTTTCAGAAGCGGTACCAGACCGCCCAAGTACTCCAGATACAGCGTGTAACATGGCACAGGCTCTACGGCATGCCTGAGCATGGTGCAATGCAATCGGCTGCCTCCCGGCGGCGGCCTTGACACGAAGCGTCGCAGCTCTCTTGGTTCCGGTACCGAACATCTGAAAAATGCATGAAAGCACATTCGTATCTAAATGGCGTCCCGTTACATTGAGCTAAAAAGTTTGTAGAATTTTTTACCGTATAGTATTAGCGAAAAGAGCAGCCACCGAGGCTCTCAATCGCGGCGGTAAAGGAAGATGTTGAACGCTTGACTCCCTCGTGAGAGCCGCTCTCACCGCTAGTCTCGACAACAGCTGAAGCGAACCGACTCTTCTGCAAAGAATAATTCAATTCTTTCTATTTCGTTCACCGTTCCGGTGTGTTATTTCGGTAAGAATTATATCCTTGAATTGTCGGTCATATTAGAGGTTCGGAAAGTAATTTCGTTTTTTCTTATGAAAATGAAAGACGATTTTCAATCAGACGCGTTTCAAATGATCATGAACGGTCGAATTCGATAAATTTAATCTCTCAGCGATCTCACGAGTTGTTATTCGCCGGTTTGCATCAATTAATGGCTTTATTGTGTCTTCATCAGCTTCAACTGGCCTTCCAGAACGTGGTTCTTCAACATCAAAATTGTCGGATCGAAATTTTGCAAACCAGTTTTAGCACTGGCGTTCTGTCAATACATCTTCTCCATACACGTCGGATAATTTTTTTCTTGCTCGAACAGCATTTTTACCTTTTCGATAGTAAAAAAGTAAAATATGCCGAAAATGCTGCTTTTCACTTTCATATTTGATAGGGCACCAACCAAAAACTACTGCGTAGAATCAATCGAACTTTTTTCACAAGCAAGCCTTGCTATATCAGCTATCAAAATATATAATGATTATGGCGGCTTAAGTGTGAAGTTGGCGGTGAAAAAATACAATAAGTCCTCTGTTGCGAAAAAACGAAATTACTTTCCGAACAACCCAATATTATCCGCGTATTAAACAATTAAAACAGTTAAAATAAGAAGTTACCTGGAGACCCATGCGGCATGGACACGCGCTCCAGTCGCTACGAAGAGCCGCCTGTCGTTGTGTCCCCATGTCAATGCCGATACGGGGCACTAATACAAACCGCCAAGAAAGTAATAAAATAAATTATTTTAAATCGTCAACGAGACAAAAGGAAAGAAGTTCTTTTAACACGGACGTACTTGCGTGTACGGAATCTCTGTCGTGTACACGAGAGTACCGTTGACCGAATAAAACTTCAGGAGATTCGTGTATTCCTGCGAACTACCCTGCTCGGACGATTCCTTCGTGCCGGCGATAGCCAACAATTTCCTGGAGTTGCTCCATTCGGCGTGTAAGGGTGGCTTCAGATTACTGCGTATCGTAATCGGCGACACGTCATCGAATGATCGCAACATGACAATGTTGCCATCGGCAAGACAAACAGCCAGCACGTAATTCCGGTCATCTGCGCTTGCACATACATCATAAATGCATTAACCGTGCATCACGGTGGCTCATCCTCGAGCTCGAATCAATCCCTTCGGACTCTAAAAGCTGCTGGTTAATACCTTTCTGAGATCGATCACACGTTTCATCCTCCTCCATCGTGAACTTTTCGGCACTCCAGGCCATTGACGTAACCCCGGCCGCTAATTGTACCTCCGACACCATAGCTCCGTGAACATCCATCACGATTAACTGACCCGCAGTTGTCCCGAAATAGACCTTTTGTCGTAGAACAATGTCCGTGGTGAATAATGTCATTTTATTTCTTTTCTATCGAAAACATTTTTATCGGCGACAAAAGGAAAGCTTTTAACTCGTACTAAGTTCCCATCAACGATGATTGAGTATAACATTCCACCCCCCCCCTCCCCTCCCCACAATGCTAAGAATGCTTCTATTAGGCAAGTACTTGACGTATCGTATTTCACACGTAATGTAAAATACGACTCAAACTTGTGTATTATTTATCATGTCACAGTCAATTTCCGAATGGCAATGTTCAATAATAATCAGATTTGTATTGAACGAACTTTAAGTTTATTCCTCACAATTTTTAGATACTTCTAATCATTAGTTAAAATATTTGGCGATTATTATAGACATCAATTTATCTTTCCTGTATCGATATAGTGTTTTGGATAAATAGAAAATCAAGAAAAACGTTTTATTAAAACTTTTCTTTCAAACCTGCTGATCGTCCGGGGTCCAAATGCCGCAAGTTATCGTCGCTTTGTCGTTGAGCATTGACGACCAATACCTTTGACCGGCGACGCTGCCGACCAATACGAAGCCATCCTGCAATAGAACATCCGTATTCTCTACAAACGATCCTCCGCAGAAAACGTGTGAAGCCACATTTATGACGAGAGGGTCGTAAATAAATACATAAAGTTCTAAAGTCCAAAGTACATCTGGACAAGCATTAGAATAGAATACTCTTTTATACTAAATATGGCAATCCATTAAATAAATAAACGCTTCAAAATGACACAGTTTTTTTACATTTTTTCGTTTCAATTTAAAAAATAAAAAAAACAAATTTTTTTTATTGCATCATAATATTGGAATTTGGTGATTGAAGTTCGTGTCTGAAGGGAAATCACAGTAACAATCTCAAATAATAGTAACTCACCCTGTAACATATAAGAGCCATACGGCCGTCGTGGGACCAGGAGAAGTGCGTAACAGGTGTGTTTCTGTCGTTGATTAATTCTATACTCCATCGTCCGTCGTATTTGATCCAAACGAAAATTACACCCGAACTGTCGCACGAGGCCAACTTTTGATACGGTTCGTTCCACTTAACAAGTATTACCTGCAACCAAATAAATAATTTTTTTGAATTACTTTAAATTACTTTAAAAAATTGTTAATTATAGACAAAATCATCAGTTATGATAAAATTTCAATAGATTGCTGTCGACGTATTGTTTACAAGAATCTTCAATTTTCCGTCAATTTATTCCGTCATAAAAACAGTGCGCTGCCCGCTTTAATACACCATAAATTCATTCTCGGTATTTCATCTTGAGTCCGCAATTAATTTCACTCTAATCAAGAGTGAACTTAATTGGTAGCCAGTCTCCTCGAAAATTTTTCATCCTTAATCAAAATACCTTTCTCATATAGCTATATCTTGAATGTGAGACAATTAACATAATTAAGAATTAATGTTCTGGGTAAAATTTTCGCACTACTGTTTATTAGAAAATTTTGATTAGAAAATATATTTTGAATTCCACGTGACTTCTTCAATGATACGATATCCCTGAGGATTAGAAGAGATTAAATCCTGCAAGAAAGGTAATCGTGAGTGTTTGAAGGGATTAAACCACTCCGTCAAGAACGGTAATCACGACCCTCGCTTTTAAGGTTTATCTCACGCTGTTAGTGGCTGGAGTAAGTTTTGCATGGGGTGAAAATCGCGGATACATGCAAGTTACATCCACGCGGTGTCATTGCTCCATCCTCGATCGATTGCTTTCCACTGCGTTTACGTTGCGACGGTGACTATATTTTTATCGTGCTGATACGGCAAATAGAAGTTTATCGGAAAATTAATTTATGGATTGAAAATGTTAGATAACAACTCGTTCCTGCCCGTTGACTATTTATATCTCTGCAAATATTTCCTGCTCGAGTTACAACTAATCACAATCATATAATAAACAGACAACTGCAAATGTTACGTATTTAACGTTTTTTAATTTGTGTAGCAACTTATCGTGAATATTTTCAGTAAGAAACCTATATAATTTATCTTTACACATTTTGTTATTCTTTAATTTATCAATTTTGTCTTTCGAAAATTAATTTTTTCCACAAATTGCGGAATAAATTATAACTTTTTCTTTATCTTAAATGCTCTTCAGGCACCATTATTTTTCTCCGGACTTTTGAAATACACGACAGATTAATTTCCCTGTTCGTAGAGCTTTGATCGGTCGTCCGGTATTGTTTGAAGGGAAAGCGCGGACGAAGTCACCGAGGGTGAACTGCGAAAAATGAGAAGGAGGATATACCGTACGTGACGTGCGTGGCGACAAGATATACACGTGTGCATTAACCCCATTACATTGTGCGCGCGCGCGCACGTACGGGCGTTGTATGAGCAAAGAAAATTCGAAAAATTATCAATAAATTTACAGAATATACGTATTTTTCACATGTCGTTGTGCAACTCTCTTTATGAGTGATTAAACCTACAGATTGTCGCAAACTTTTCTTTTCTTGAAATTGTATTTTTCGAAATATATGAAGTAAGGATCGCATTGGCAGTAATAATGTCAGAAGCCATGTTTCTTTAAACTTAATAAAGTGTATAAACTTACAAACTTATATAACGCCGTAACATCTCAAGTCTATTATTATAAAAATCAGCGATAGAGAATTTTATTTATATCAGTTCGAAACGATCCCTGGTGGAAAAATGTTGCTGAAATTATTCCACGTTTTGGAACACTTTTCAATAAAATTTCAGCATTTAAAAAAAAATTTCAGTTTAATTTCAGTGATTTTTAGCTGAAAAATTTATTTTCGGCAAAATTTTTGAAAAACTTCAGCAAAATTTTCAGACAAATTTCAGCAAGAATTTCAGAGAAATTTCAGAAAATTTCAGAGAAATATCGATTGGATCTCAGTGATTTTTTATGTTAGCTGAAAAATTCACTTTCAGTGAAGTTTCAGCAAATTTTCAGCAATTTCGCTGAAATGTTCTAAAACTTGGAATAATTTCAGCGAAACTTTTTCACCAGGGATGTGTTAATCGCGGACAAAAAATTTTGGACAGCCAATGCCTTAAAAAAGTTTCCTGTTCTCTTTTGTGATTTTAAGCGAAACTCCATCACGTAGAATTTTGTCGGTGGACGAAATTGCGTTACGATAAGCTGGTCTCGCTTGATAGGAATAAACGGAATTTTCCGTGCGACGTTCTACAGATGTAATAAAATCTGTCTGAGGGTACATTGTAAATTGCAGGGACATGATCGTGCGAGAAAGTCAGGGAATAACGGAGATGGTGCGAGCCTGCTGATCGATAAGAAACTCGTAAGGCCGCTTCGGATTTTCTCGTGAATCTCATGCAGTGTAAGATCGTGGGGTGCATCTGAAGAAACCGTTTAGAATCGAAGATCGTACTTGTACAAGCGGCTCTTTTACGTGAGACACACTTACTAGAACGTTTATTACATTCTTTCGTGCTTTATTACAAATTTCGAGCAGAATGGAAAGTTGAAATTAGAAAAGACAAATTTACTTATACGTAACCGCACTGAAAAAATATACTAAATTTTAATAAATCTTTTGTTTGAATAGCGCTAAAACTAAATATTTATTAAAGATATATTAAATATATATTAAAAATATATTGTATATTAAATATATATTAAAGATATATTAATTTTTTACAAGAACCATTATTTTGATTCATAATTTCTTTTTATCGTATAAACAAATATTTATTTTCTGTAAGTAAATGTTTAAGTTTACTATCCAAATAAATATTTATTTAAAAATTTAACATTTTTTTTCTCAGTGCATCTGTATAGGAGATGGCATATAAATTGACACAAGTGCATTTATTTTGAATGCTCTTTCACATAATCATGTTCAGCGATGGAGCGTACTCCGTAGAATTACCAGCTTTTATGCGATGTACGCTACGATCATCCCCACACTTTCGTTACACAGCGTTAAACAGCGACGGGGAAGTCATATTTTCCAGCACACCATGCATTTTTCGCTTAACCGTCGAACGTGAATAGCACTACCCGCTGACCTCCCATGTTCCCTTTATCTACGCTTCCCCTTTATGTGCTGTGCTTATTGCAGGGCGAGGACGCAATGGCGCGTCCTGATAATCCAACGTAATTGTATTTTCGAACTTGTAAAGAACATTGTAAAAAGCACCGAATGAGAAGTCGCCGCGTTTTCTCTTTTTTCGTTATGGTCCGTTGAGAGTTCCACGACCTGTAGCATCGTCACGGAAATATAT